TGCAAGAAGTCTCTTCAGTTTGCACTGATATATCCTTAGGTAAAAATTCTGCGATAAAGTCTGCCATAACCTGGCCCTTTATTGCCTTACTTAGTTGGAATCGAACGTCAAATTCCCCTAGCTCTACTGCCCATTTAGCAACACGTCCCGACAAATCGGCTTTATGGAAGAGTGACTTTAGCGGTTGGTCAGTAAGTACTGTGATTTGATGGGCTTAGAAGTAGTGCTTGAGCTTCCTGGCCGAGCTAATTAGTGCTAGGGCAATTTTTTCCAACGAAGTATACCTTGATTCTGCATCTAAGAGCATCTTGCTCACATAGAAGATTGGTTTCATCTTTCCACAGTTATTCCTCATCAATGCTCCACTTACAGCGTGCTCTGATACAGCCAGGTAGAGGTAAAGTACTTCCTTGGGATCCGGGGTTGATAAAATCGGTGGAGACGCTAAGTATGCTTTCAGATTTGTAAACGCTTCCTCACACTCCTGATTCCAGAGTGTTCCCTGTATTCCTTTGATTGACTGAAAGAAGGGTCTGCATTCATTAGATGCGCGGGATATAAATCTCCCAAGTGCTGCTGCCATTCCTGTTAGCCTCTGCACCTCTTTTACAATTCGAGGGGATTTCAATTCGGCAATGGCCATCACTTGCTCGGGATACACCTCTATTCCTCGGTGAGTAACCAGAAATCCCAAGAATTTCCCCGAGCCGACCCTGAAAGCGCATTTAGACGCATTTAACGTCATGTTATATTTTCGCAGAATATTGAAAGTTTCCTTCAGGTCAGCACAATGACTCGTGGCTTTTCAACTTTTAACTACCATATCATCGATGTAAACTTTTATAGTACTACCTATCATATGGGAAAACATTTTTGTTACTAACCTCTGGTATGTTGCTCCTGCGTTCTTCAACCCGAAGGGCATTACTCTATAATAGTATGTTCCTTCTGGCGTTATAAATGCAGTCTTTTCTTGATCCTCTTTGGCAAGGGGGATCTGATGATATCCCCTGTAGGCATCCAAGAAACTCATCTACTCGTGCCCGACTGTTGCGTCTACCAACTGATTTATCTTCGATAGGAAAAAACTGTCTTTTGGACACGCTTTATTCAGGTTGGTAAAATTAACACAGACTCTCCACTTTTCATTTTTCTTCTTTACCACAATAGTGTTTGACAACCAGGTCGGATATTTCACCTCCCTAATTGTTTGAGACTCCAGCAAACGAGCCACTTCTTCTTTTACTGCTTCCTGATGCTGTGTTACCGACCTCCTAAGCTTTTGTTTTACTGGCTTGAAGCTCGGGTCTATGTTTAAGTGATGACATGCCACTTCTGGCAGTACGCCAAGCATGTCGATGCTACTCTATGCAAATACATCGACGTATTCTTTCAGCACTGTAACGAGCTCTGTCCTTTGTTCAGAACTAAGAGCTGTTCCTAACAAAAAATATTTTTCTTGGTCAGCATCCTTGTCTAGAGGTACTCTAGTCAAGTCTTCAACTATTCGGTTTGTAGCCTCCCTCTCTTCGTCTAAAGGTACTTTAGGGATATTTTTGACAGCTTGGTTGGCAGGGGGTCAACCTAGCTGTCTGATATTGATTGCTATTTCATCTGTTCTTCCACAGAGCAATTTCCTAGGCGTTCAGCCTTGTCTTTAGACTTGACAGAAGCCAACAAGCAAGTTCTAGAACTGACCTGGTCTCCTCGAATATTTACTACTCCATCAGATGATGGAAACCTTAGCATTTGATGGAATGTTGATGGTACCGCCTTCATTTTGTGCAGCCAAGTACGCCCTATAATTGCGTTGTATGCCGAGACTGTGTCCACTTGGAACTCGGTCATAACGCAAACTAGTCATGTCTTTACAGGTAACGTGACATTTCCTTTGGGCAGAACCGTTTTTCCACTAAAGCCGATAAAGGGAGTATTCGAGGGCTTGAGATCCTCTTTCTTGAGGTCGAGCTTCTCGAACAGATCCATATACATGATTTCTGACAAACTCCTCGGATCAATCAAAACCCTTCTTACATCAAAATTGGCAACCCGAAGTGTGATGACCAAGGCATCATTGTGCGGTTGGTGAACATCGACCAAATCCTGCTCGGTGAAACAGATCGCTTCGACTATGTCCTCTATCTTGATTCATTTGTTGGCGACCTCCGGGGTCATTCTCAACTCGTACATTTCTCTCTCTTTGGCTGCTTTCTGAATATAAGCCCAAACAGAGTTGTTCGTGGACATTTGAGGGTTGGTGGCGGTATGGATCACATCAATTACCCCAGTTGTAGTGTTGGAGTCCCCTTTTGGCTCGGTTCTCCCCCCCCTTTGGTTTTCTGCTCATTTTCAATGAATTCTGTGAGATGTCCAGCCTGGATTAACTCCTCCAAGTGCTGCTTGAGAGATCGACAATTCTCAGTCATATGACCTATATCTCTGTGATACGAGCACCTAAAATTTGGATTCTTTTTAGATGGATCACCTATTAGCTTGTTTGGCCATTTGAAGAACGGCTTACCTTTGATCTGACTTAGAACCTTGTAAATTGGTTCTTTGAACAATGTATTCACCACCAAAAAAGGGGACCTTGGGGATATCCCTCCTTCTCAAACTTCCTTCCTCCCTCTCTGTTCGGCTTAGCTTGCTTTTCCCTTCCAAATTGTCTCCTGCTCGGATGTTCCTTAACCACTTCTCTGGATAAGTCGTCATCCACTTTGGCATACTTTTCAATCTTGGCCATTAATTTTTCCAAGTCAGTAGCTGGTCTCCTTGTGAGCGATTGGTACAGAGGGTTTTCTTTCGACAAGCCAATCTTGAAGGATGCAACTGCAATCTCTGGATTGCACCCTTCGACTTCATTCATGGTTTCCCAATAGCGATGTGCATATTCTCGCAAGCTTTCGGTACTCTTCTTTTTCAGCGTCAGTAGAGCCCCAACATCCTTTGGTTGTTTACTGCTCATGATGAATCGAGCTGTGAATTGCTCAGCTAATTGAGACCACTCGTTAATCGTTCCTTTTGGTAAGCTGTCGAACCACTTCATGGCAGACTCTCCAGACTGCTAGGGAAGATAGTGCAGAACAATGACTCGTTTCTTCGGTGGATGGTCATCAGCTATCGAAAGTGCCTGATATGTGAGGCTAGGTCAGTCTTTCCGTTGTACAACTTGAAGTTCGGGACGACAAACTTGCTTGGAATTCGTGCTTTTTCGACCCAGGCAGTGAATGGGGATGACTCCAAATCGTCTCTGTACTCCCTTGTTGCTCTTCTGGCTAGGTCTCTAGCCGACCTCTGTTCTGGTATCTTCAAGCGAAGGTTGAGCTCTTCGTTGATATACTGCTTCCACGTGTCCTCCTTCTGGATCCGAGACTTCTTCTGCCGGTAATCTTTCTCATCAGCAATTTTAACTCTGCTAGGCTTCTATCCCGGACTTTCATGCCAGTTTTCTCTCGCCCGCTTTTCCTTTCTAGTCACCTCTTTCAACTTTGCCTTTAACTCTTCGTTTTCTTAGATCAAATCTTTCTCTCTAGCATAAGATTTCTTGAAAAACTTGTCATGGGCGTCAAGTCGATCCTGTAGGGACTGAACTAACTTTGCCAAGGAATGGTCCTCCCCCTCGGCACAGAGTGACTTACCATGATCCTGGCTTTGTTGGTTCTGATTTTTCGAGGGCTTGAAACTCGCAGAGGATACCTTATCATCCTCACAGATTCTGGAGGGGCTTCTGACTGCATGTAACCTTGCGTTGTTGTCAGAAGGATGAGATGCAGGATCAGAATTTTCCAAGGAAAAACTGCCTACAGGTGATCCAATTGTGCTTCTGAGTCTTGACATCATAGCTTTTTCTTCTAAAAGATGATGATCTTTCCCACAGACGACGCCAAATGTAGGAGGCAAAAAATTGAGATTACCTCATACTGGAATTGAAATGGTTATGGGGTTCTGAACTTGATCTCTCAATCTTCCCCTTCCTGTAAAATCAACACACTATCTAAGATAGAAGTGCTTCGATCGAAGACACTCCGATGCTTAAGTCAGTAAGGATAATGAAACAAATGAAAGAAGACAAGGAGGGTTCAGCGTACCTTCCACCTTGGCTCCTCTTGATTTTTATAGATCGTTATCTCCCCTTAGGGTTTTCATGAATTTAGGTTCAAGGTGGCACACCTTCTTTCAATTCAGTCTTTTAGTTTGGAAAGTTGTTGATATTTCTCCAACAATTTCTCTTGATATCCACAATTTTGTTGATTTCTTTTATCTGATTGCCTAAGTTATAGGCGCATATTTATCCTTCTATTTATCTAAAATAGCTCGGACATATCAAATGCTGAGCACACTTGATATTTGTCGAACAGATTAAGGGACTTGGTCTGGCACAAACCGATTTCTTCAATTGCCTTGCTGAATACTTTACCGGACTCGGCTTGGTACAAGCCGAGCTCTTTCATTGCTTAACCGAACAGATTGATGAGTTCAGTCACAAAGAGAACCAATATATTGTCAATCCTCTAATTAGCTCGGCTTAGTTAGAAATCTCTTAATAGAAAAATCTATTATCAGGTATCTAATCTTATCAACATCACGTGATCAGATTCAATGCTGTGTGATGTGTAATCAAGAGATTTAAGCCCTTCAATATCGATTCCATTAAAAAAAAAAAAATTCAACTTCGGATGATGTTCACGCGTGTTAACTAATAGTGACACCCATAATTGTAAGCCCATCATCCTCTACAAGTGATTTATAAACTCCCACTCGGGTCCAGACCTTCGACAAACCCTGATAATCATTTGTTTGAATTTTCAGAAAATATCAAGAAAAGATCTCTGAACCCTTTTTCCCACCATTAAACTAACCATTTTTGCCCAAAAGTTCTTCCATTTTTCAATCTCAGCCTGTTATTTAACGGCCACAGGTTTCTGATCGGTGAATTTTTGAACTGAATCGATGGTAATGGTGATGGGTTAAGGGAAAGAGAAGAATTTGGGGTTAACAGTATGTGTACGGGCTCGAGCTCGGACTCGAACTCCAACTCCAACTCGAATGGGTGGAGCCGAGCTCCAGGAATGGTGCTGAAGACGCTGGTAGTGATCGGCGGTGCAGTCTTGTTGAAACGCCTCACCAAGTCTACGACCCGGTGGGACCATGCCCGAAGTGTCGCTCAATCCCTTAGCGGCGAAAAGGTACTTCATCTACAGTGTATTTTTTCTTTGTATATAGCTATCGTATCTGTAAATGGATTTGTATTTGTTTGATTGTTTGTTTTGATCATGTTAATTGGTAGTTCTCGAGAGAGCAAGCTTCTAAGGATCCTGATAATTACTTCAATTTGAGGTACTCTGTTTTACCCCCCAAAAAATTACTATCGTTTTTTGGTTGAATTTGATGAATATGACAATTCGTTCACGGAATTGTGACCATGTTTATCATTTGTGTAGATGGCTTTCATGCCCGGCTGCAGAGATGGTGGATGGTTCAAAAGTTTTATACATTGAACAAGTTAGTATAGTAGACGGCCTATGCAGTTTTTGCTTCCTAGTGTTATGTTGGACTTGCTAAGAAAATTGAGCTATTCAATGGATCTTTTTCGTGTTGGCAGGCGTTTTGGAGGACTCCTCATAAGCCCTTTCGGCAGGTATGCCACATATCTTAGTCATCTATCTGCTTGCATGCTACAGTGTGGACCTGTCGCATCCATAAATGAATTCTGCCGTGACTTGTGGTGTTCTTGAGTGAAAATTTAGTTTGCTCTATCATTTTGCTATGCTAGTTGTCTTTCATTGCCAGAAATGTAGTTGTGTATTCATGCCCTTTTTGATGATACAATAGGATGGCAAATCCCAGGGTTTTTGTGGTGGTAATTAACATCTTTGCATTGAGTAGGATTTAGTTTCACTAATTTTCATGAGTTCTTTGCTTGACAATTTCTGGTGTTTGTCTTGTTGCAGAGATTTTATATGGTGAAGCCGTGTCCAAAGGAGATGAAATGTGATGTTGAGGTGGGATGTTTCTTTAGTGTCCATTTTGGAAGTGCTCAGTGTTCTTTGTTTCCTTTGTCCTTCCTCTTTTTGCTATTATTATTTTTGCTTCTGCTAATATTGTCATTACCATGGCTGATGATGTGATGCCAGTAAAATAGCACACTTAAAACAATATAAGATTCCCTTGTGAATTTTGTACCATAATTGCCTTGTGTTCTCATTTTTGTGGTGATGGCTATATTGTTCATACAGATGATTTGATTGCTTTCTACATCTCATGGTATCATTTTTTACAAAATTATGTTATATCTGGGTGATATCAAAATTTATTTATTGCCTGCACACATGTGGTTTGTCTACTGCAGCCATATTACTTTAGTATGCCAGCTATCACCTTTAATGTAGTTACTGGTCTGTATCCTTTAAGCAACTACTTGCGTAACTCCGCTCTCCTTTATCTCTGTGTTCTAGTGCTAGGAATTCTTCTATTATTTTCATAAGTGGAATTTATCTATTATTTTTTCAAGTTGAACAATAGCCAAATGTAAGTGACTTCTACTCAATCGCAGGTAAGTACGTATGCCATTAGAGATGCGGAAGAGTACAAGAACTTTTGTGATCGGCCAAAGGACCAGCGCCCACAAGCTGAAGAAGTTATTGGGGTAAGGCCTTCAGGCAACAATCTTTGGTTATCTGTACACAGATATGCTTATACTTGGATCCTGTAATATCCATGCCTGAATAAATTTGGGTCTTCCACTTGCATGTCCAAATTCGAATTTTGTATGTCCAATTATAGCTCTGAGTGGTAGCCGCAAAGATTAGATCACCTTTTGTTTTGCGGCCAGCTGAGTGATGTCAAAGCCTTCAATAAGTACTTGGAGTAGGATCCACCGGTTATAAATCATAGATGCAATTTCGGTAACCAAAAAGGGTTAAAAGAATAGGAAAGGTCCATATCTCCCCTCCCTCTCTTCTTTCTCATGGAAGAAGCATATACTCCCTCTGTTAGCAAGGATTAATTATTCATGGCTTCTGGGATTACCGACCCATGAAGCAGTGCATAGTTTAAGGGGGTATAATTAGTGCATACGCAATTCCTTTATCAGAAGAGTTGTTATCAGTTTTTCTCTTAAGTAGTTTTGCATCAGAATTTTAAGAGGTGCATAATGAAGCAGAACTGGAAGCATTGTAGAGAACCAAAAGAGGAAACTTGAAGTGCTGTTGTTCTAAATGGTCAAATATTAGGGGACATTCAAAGGAAAAGGCTCAACACTCTCTCTCTCCCCAAAACCCCTTCCTCTAATTTTCAGTGCTCTAGTTTATTGGAATTCCTTGGATCTTCAAAAGGAAGGCTTTGTAAGTTTCATTATGAATAATCATATCACCCATGAAGCGTTCAAATGGGGATTCCTTGTTCAAAGATGTTCATTTGAACATTTAGTATAATTTGTCTGTTTCGGGCCCACTACTTTTATATGTAGCAGTGCACTTCAGCCTTTCACCCACTTATGTTGACATCGAGAAGGAAATTGCCTGACTGAAGCACAACTCAAACTAATATAGTGGAGAGAAATACAAGCAATGAAGAACATCATAACCTCAGACATCATTTGCTTTACGTTTTGCAACTGACCCCACCTGAACTTACAATTTACACGAGTCAACTTGTTGAAAGAGTGGCCTAGGATACGTTGGTCACATCTTTGCCAACTATGACCCCTTTGAGGATAGAATCGCCTAGTCATAGGTTGGTGACATTTCCTGGGAACTTCTAGAAATTCTAAACAAAGTTGGGATTTTTTTGGGTGGTAATTAAAAGCACTATGCAATGAGGAGTTTCATACACCTTTGTAGTGTACAAATAATTCAGAGACGGTCCATTGGTTAGTGACTAATGAGTTAGCATGTTGATTGACAGGTATAAGCAATGTGGCAATTCAGAATGTGCAGTAACAAATTTAAATTTTACTTATAATCAAATATGTCTTGCATGTGTCTGACCTCTCTCTCTCTCTCTTTGTTTTGGGCGAGATAGGAAACTTTCCTGACTGTGTGTCACATTAGAAAACCCTAAAAAATCATGCGAAATTATTGAGATGCTTTATTTTTTTTTCTTTTGGTTTTTATTTCATTCTTTATACCATGTGCAGGACATTGCAGAACATTTGACCACCATATATGTCAAGCGCTGTGAACGCGGAAAACGCTGCTTTTATGAAGGTTCAACTCCACCAGATGGGTTCCCTAATTCCTGGGTATAGTACCCATTGATCCTGTCTCCATTATTCTATCTTTATTTCCTTCACTACAGTATATGTGGCATGTCCTACCCAGAGTTAATTGTTTTTGTGAATTTTTTAATATCTGTTGTGACTGACGGGGTGATATTATTCTGCCCAGTTATGTTAATATATGGTATTTGTTTTTTATATGACAGAATGCTGCGGCATACTGTACCTCGGAACTTGCAGTCTTGAAGAACAACGAGATACACACCTGGGATAGGGGCTATGATGATGATGGAAACCAAGTTAGTTTGGATGGCCTTATCTCCACTATCAAGACTTATGAATTACTGCATGGTGGTCAGAGATTTAGCCAAGTGCCTCTACTAACATTTATTTATTTTTCTTTTTCTTGTTGTATCTTCCAGGTTTGGGGAGTGAAGGGAGGTCCTTATGAGTTCAAGCCTGCACCTGCTTCAAGCTTTGTTGATATGTTTTCTCCTTTAAATTTTCCTCCTCAGTCCATAGAGAAAAGGATAGAGGGTTCCTTTGTCCTCCAAGAATGATATAGTGTAAAGTTCAACTTCATTTCACATCTATAGAACTGTTTCTAAATCAGTTCTCACACGTTTCATCTTCTCATCAATTTTGTATTTTGATGTGTATTATGTGCAAATGCTAAAATGGGGTAGTAAAGTTTATTATGCACGTGAGAGCTGATGCAAATACATTAGAATGTTTGAGTTATTGAAAAATGCGAGGGTTCTGTCATAAGAAACACGGCAAGTTTGTCTATTTCGTATGATTTTCTTCAAGTTGCAGCCTTGATCTATAGATGGAGGGAGGTGAGAATCCAACTAGTTCTGTGTGAAAACAGTTCTCTTTTGTGTTTGATTGGCAACTTGATTTTGGCAGCGAAGTGTACAGGGATTGGAATTATTATGACAATGCCTCATCACTCATCAGTTCAGCTTGCCGTATTGGAGGCCTTGTGTCATGCTTGGCTTTATACAACATTCAGTATCCTCCACTCTGTGGACATTAGGGGTAAAGTGATTAGTGTGTCAAGCATATTTAGATATTAATTTCCACAATCATTTCTTCCTGTAGAGTTTTGATGTACAGGCTTCAATTTGGGGGGATTTCTGCGAGTCAAATTTCAATACCATTGGCAAGGCTTTGGCAATAGCATGCAACTCCTTGAAGATTTGGTGCGTTTCTTCCGATCTATTTTGAAAAGTGCATAGTTTTTCCTCCAAAAATGACCTCTCCCCTATGTCCTTGTTCACAGATATGTCAATAGAGTCAAGCATGGATTTTCAAACATTTTCAGAAATAATTCAAATGTTGGTTTTACTCAGGGAAAGCTGTTTTGCATGAAAGTAAGCTGAACTGGGGGTTTTGATATTATACCATACCTAACCCATTGGGCTTCCTTGCATCAATATTGCCCTGGGAAAAAAAACCATATTCAATGTACAATATTCTCGTTTATAGCAGGGTTGGGAGGGCCAAGTGATGGGCAGTAATACTCATATTGGTAAGAGCAATGCTATTGGGACTTAATTTACCAACCTAATGTGCTGACTTAATTCACTATGACCTTTGGATTGATTGTGTCCTAATTCACTATGACCTAATTCAATATTATAACGTGAGCGTTATAGGTCTGAGTTTTGGCTTAAGATTTTGTAATACAAACCTTAGCAAATCAAGCAATTTGTGGGAAAATGAAAATTGAAGTTTGTGATTTACCCAAGAAAATTGAAGTTTATGGATACTTGAGTACTCAGCACTTTTCTATTTGCTTAAATGGTCAAAGATATGGTTATTTCCCAAATTCCAGAGGTCTAAGGCAAGGAGACCCTCTTTCCCCTTCCTTATTCATCTTGGCTGAGGAGGTTTTGAGCAGAGGGTTGAGAAGAATTTACCAGCAAAACTTGGTCTCTCATTTTCATATTGGTAGAGGCACAACAGTCGTAAGTCACTTACTTTTTGCTGATGATACTTTGGTGTTTATGAGGGGTACTAAAAGATCAGTGTTGAATGTTTTGAAATATATTGGTGAGTATGAATCTTGTTCTGGTCAAAAGGTGAACAAATCAAAGAGTGCTATGTATTGCTCTAAAAGAATCTCAGTGGCAAGGAGGAATTCTCTATCTTCTTTGGTGGGGATTCCTATAAGAAAATGTCCTTTTTCTTATCTGGGTTGTCCCATTATCAGAGGTAGGGTGAAGTTTTGTTATTTTGAGGACATTATGAGAACTTTCAGAAGTAGAATTGAGGGCTGGTATGCCAAGATGCTTTCTGGAATGGGCAGAATTGTTCTTGTGCAATCTGTTTTGAGTGCTATTCCAACACATATGCTGGCCTGTTTGAATATTCCAAAGGGGATTTTGAGGAAATTGAATTCCTACATAGCTGACTTCATTTGGTCCAGTAAGCTGGATATTAAAAGAAGACATTGAGTTTCTTTGGAGAATGTATCTAAGCCTAAAAGTGAAGGTGGATTAGGCATTAGATGCTTTGGAGAGATTCAATCTGCATTCAGAATTAAGCAGGTGTGGGGTATTCTTAATGGGCAGTCCTTATGGGCAAAAGTATTTAAAGAAAAGTTCCTTAAGGGAAGGCATTTATTGAGATGTAGTAATAATGGAGCTATGAGCTTCAAGAATTTGAGACCCTGGTTTGATTTTGTGGTTACTAATTCTATGGTTTTGCTGGGAAATGGTCAGAGCACTGATTTCTGGTGTGACTCATGGATGGAGAATGAACCTTTGCTGCATAGAATTGAAGCTGTACCCTCTTACTTTCCCAAAGTTAATGAATTATGGTATGATAGTGAGTGGCACTTTGAAGGGGTTGATGAATGGCTTACTCCTCAGTTGAAAGATGAAATTAAAAATTCTAGTGTGTTGGTACCAGGGAAGGATGATAAAAGAGTATGGAGTCATACAAATTCAGGGGTTTTTTCAATCAAATCTGCATGGAATCAAATTAGGAGATCCAAGGAACATTGTGTTATTGCACAGAATATTTTGGAGTCTGGAAATTTCCCCCAGTGCTCAGCTGTGCACTTGGAAAATTTATAAGAAGGCAGTGACAACTGATGATAGAATTAAAAATGTTGGGGTATTTGTAGTCAGCAAATGCAGCTTATGTGGTTTGGATGAGGAATTTGATTCCCATATTTTTATTCTCTANTTGTATCATGTAATTGAGTGTCCAGACATTGTTTGGATGCATGATTGCCACGCTCCCCATATAAAGAACACCTTTTGTACCCTTCTTTTCTTTCTAGACGTCTCTTCCCTAGTTCTTATGTAATTTCGTGCTCCTTCAATTTTATTGCTTGATTATCTTAGAAGAGACCGCAAAAGATATTGTCGGTACCATTGATTGGAGTGGTTTAGAGGCTTATAACTTTTCACTGTGAGGTGGAAGGTTCGAGTTTTAAAGTCCACAATAAAATTTAATAATTAATTATTATATTAATCTAATTAGATTTGTTCTTGAGAAGAGTAATGAACACAGTCAAAATTCTCATGATTTCATCAATAAAAATCTGTCAAGATGGCCTTTAGATATTCTCTTTTACCCTCGTCCTTTTTTTTTAATAATAAAAAATTATTCATGTGGGCCTCTATACAATCAAATATAAACCATTTGCATTAGATTGATTTGTTCAGTCAGACCAAAACAGTAATTATGGCGAAACTAGTTTAGTCACAAATTTAAATAAAGAAGTATTTTTTAAAATATTTTTGGCTGCTAACATACTAACATAAGCTGTCATGAAAAATACTAAAACTTCTTGTGCTACAGTAACTTGTCCTTATTCTCTCTTCCTTTGCTCTCTTATTTGTTTCACCATTTTCTTTGGACGACGATATCCGACACAATACAAAAACACGATTTAAAATTTATACGAAATTAATGGATTAATATTAATCATTTATCAATACAAACTCATATATGACACGATCCATTAATGCACATAATAAATAAATTAGATTAGTGTCAAATACGAATTATACAAAATTAATATGATTAACATGTTTAAATAATATTTTAAAAATAAAATGCTAATTTTTTATTATATTTTATCAAATAATAATCTAATTCTTGTACAAAAAAAAATTTACTCATTTTTATTACTATATTTATTAAGTTAATTCTTAGTTTATACAAAAATATAAGTATAAATTCAATTAAGTGATAATAAAATTTTAAACGTAAAATTAATCAATAAATTTTTTATTCACAGATTATATGGGTCAACATAAAAATAAATAAATTGACATAACACGAGCATGATTAATTAAACGAAATGAGTTATAATTGACTAGTGCTCAACACAAATCCAAAANGTTGACATAAAACGAACATGATTAATTAAACGAAATGAGTTATAATTGACTAGTGCTCAACACAAATCCAAAATAAAACATCCCGACCACGACCCAACCCGACACGATCTCGCTACCAACATGTAACTCAACCCCTGCTTCCGAAAAATACACCCAAAACAGAAACCAAGACAGATCTACATTATATAACAACCAGCAACCGAGTTAGGTGGAAGAGACGTGGNAACCCAACCCGACACGATTACCATCCCTCACTACCAACATGTAACTCAACCCCAGCTTCCGAAAAATACACCCAAAACAGAAACCAAGACAGATCTACATTATATAACAACCAGCAACCGAGTTAGGTGGAAGAGACGTGGCCAAAGAACAAAAAAAAAAAAGGGCAGAAATCTCTCAACCCTTGAAATGGGTTGAAGTTCAACATCATATGATCCACTGCTGCCTCAGTCACATTCGATTTTCCAAGACACCGGTATCATGACGACATTAATGCAGTAACAAAAAATGACAAATAAAAAAACTAATTAAGACATGGGCAAAAAGAAATCAAATACTAAATGTACATTCCTGATGAATACCAACATCTTCCTTAGAGCAACAAGGTTTGGAGGCACAATGGAGAAGAAGCAAAAGCAATTGGGATCACTTTCCATGTTATAGCTAGCTACCAAGGTTTCAGGTCACCCACTGGGCCTGCAGTCCAGTTTAAGATCTTCTCACCCGGCTTCAGGAAAACGCTCTTGTTGTGTGGCAGCTTACGAGCGAGTCCATTCAAAATTTGATGGAACGCATCACCTGATTGAGCTGGTTGCGGAAATAACATTGCCTGTTTCATAGAAGGGTTGGCAAGCAATCTCTGCTTCCTCAGCACTACTTCTGTTGGTATAGAAGTGAGAATGGTGTCTAGACTTGGAACATCCTTCNATTGGGATCACTTTCCATGTTATAGCTAGCTACCAAGGTTTCAGGTCACCCACTGGGCCTGCAGTCCAGTTTAACATCTTCTCACCCGGCTTCAGGAAAACGCTCTTGTTGTGCGGCAGCTTACGAGCGAGTCCATTCAAAATTTGATGGAACGCATCACCTGATTGAGCTGGTTGCGGAAATAACATTGCCTGTTTCATAGAAGGGTTGGCAAGCAATCTCTGCTTCCTCAGCACTACTTCTGTTGGTATAGAAGTGAGAATGGTGTCTAGACTTGGAACATCCTTCTCTGCAACGAAGACCCCAATTTCTTCCCAAGGGATGGCATCAGCAAATGGTAAAACGATGTCATCTGCAATGATAACCGGAATGCAACCAAATATCACTGCTTCAACCAATCTCGGACTCCATGGCGCCCACCCAAGTGGACACAAACAAAATATGGCTCTTTGCATGTCTTCGTAGTAAGTTGTTGGGTGGTCTGTGGAGATGTCAAAAAGCGGATTGTCTTTAAAGTTCTCCCATACTGCTGCTCGTGCACCTCTGCAAAATTAGAAAATCAAAATTAGAAAGAAAGCCTTCAAATTTGCCACAATTAAGAGCTCAATGGAAAAGGAATATGAAAGAAAGCATTCAAAAAATCACATTGTTTTATTGTTTCTCTTTTGTCCTACTTTTGGTTCTTCTAGTTTTTTCAATCGATCCTTGTCTTCCAAAGCTTTTTAAGAAGAGCCCACTTTGCTCTTTGTGGCTAGTGGTTATAGATTTTTCACAAATAATTCAAAAAATTGGGGCAGAATTTTTTTATCACCATGGTTGGACAACTATTTTTCCGGTGAGTTTGGTATTGTTTTCACTTCCATTAAAAGAATAAAGCCATTCATTCCTATGCAATCACAACAAAATGAAGATAGTTCATTTCTATTGAACATTGAAACACCCTTGACATGCAGGCTTAGTGATATATACCTCGCATAATAACCACCTTCGGGGTCATTTCCCACATCATAAAACAATCCTCGAAAGTAAACAAAGATGGACCGAGGAGTGTTTGGAGGAATCAAGTGGGTTTGCATTTTCTGTGGAGGAGCATAAGGAGGAATTGTGATGGAGCCGTCCTTTAAGCAAACATGATTTCGCTGTCCAAAAGTTTGAACCAGGGTAGCACGCTGAAGCAATGTAAGAATACCTCTTTCAATTGCTTTTTCCTCCTGAAATGATGGAGACGGGTAGGGACAATCAAACACAAGTGATAATTAAGACAGAATTCAACAAAGCGGTACATATCCACATTTAGATATATCTTGCATGATGTAATCCAGTCCTTCGATAGCAGAAAAACACGGTGCTCCTAGATGCACATACAGAGTCTTGCCAAAGATTTATGAGGGAAGTAAAGAGGGTCTATGAACTTCTTACTAGATAATGAAAGCATGCAGCAAAATCATGGGGCACAATGAAGAAATGATCAGCCCCTTCTGTCCTGTTCCAATAAGGCCAATTAGAAGAAATAAGCTGTATCGCACTTCTCATCACACGTGGCGACTTGAAGGGTAAAGGCAATCCATTTGGTGTGAGGTCACAGGTGGAATATACAGGGGTGTAGAACCAATCAGCTTCCTCAGGATTTAGAGTTCTGACGGGGCTAGATAAGAGAAATCGGTGCATATAGATCTCCGCAGCAAACATGTGGTTGAGACATCGGGGATCCTTCTGCAAAATTTTTTTGTTGTATTTGCTGGGAAGCTCATAAACAAAAACTTTTAATCTTCCCACTGGATCATCTTCCAGGACATCACCAGCACTACCTGTGTCATGTAAACCAAAGCACAATCAAAGACCCGAAACTTAAAATCTTGAATTGTACTGAAGTTCAATATTTTCTAATATACTGAAGTTCAACATCTGGTCCCCAGAATATCAATATGCCACAGAATATCAACATGAATATGTATTATGATTTGTGGGGACCAGATGAGTGTGAGTTTGGGCATTCAAACTAATCAGAAGAACCTTTGGGCACGAAGTGAGTTATTTGTGTATCAAAATACAGTCAAAGTAACATATCGGAAGTGATCATGAAAAAAAAGTAGACATTCCACAACCAAGTCAATAACTAAGCTGCCACATGTGATGTAGCTTTAGTTTAATATGAAAGGTAAAAATGCTAAAATCAAGAAAAAAAAGAATAAAATTCTTACAGATTGCCTGAACAACACCACATGAGCCATGTTTGATTCTCAGAAGACTCTTATGGAACTCTTTGAATGAATCCATTGACAAATAAAAATTTTGGCTGAAACCTTGGAGGGAAGATGTCTACTGCAGAGACTCTTGCATCATTCAAAAACTCACTCAATCAGTATGTGGGCCCTAAGGCGGATGTCGAATACCTCCAACCCCACCTCAAATGGCATCACACAATAAAAAAATTATGCCCTCATGCTTGATGCTTATTGATGCCAGGATAAGGCATCAAATGCTCTAAACAAGTTTTGCTTTAAGCAAGTGTGATACTGCAGGCAAAAGGGATGGATGAGAATATAGGCTTCGTGGCTATACTAGGTTTAGGCCTCCATTATGATTTTAGGAGCTGATCACCACAACATACAAGAGAGGGAGGTTCTCCAGTACCCCTGTAAATGATTATGAACCACCACATGAATTACACTACAGTCCTCGATAGCCCAGTGACTTCGTGTATCCTAGGTCTGCGGACAACAATATCCCCTTCTTTGAACCTAAAGAAGAACTTCTTACTCTAAATCCTCATTCGTGTTAAGTGACCTATCCAAAGTCCATAAGAAGCTTCGTTTGAGATGGTGAAATCTCATTGTCCCTTCATGAAGCTCCGGACTTTGTCTTGAACAACAACATGGCATAACATCCTTGCATTATGAGTCCTCTCTACTCCTCCCATGGCCTTCATCTTTATCTTTTGTTGCCTGTTCATACTCAAGCTAAAATACCCCTTGCTCTTATGCTCCCAGAATTCTAACTGGCAAACTTCATAGACCGCCTGGTCTCTCAAAAACCTTACGTGTATCACAACAGTACCAGTACACACTCAAGTTAATCTAGGAGAAGGGTGGATATACGTTGAGACTACCAAGTACGGGCTCAAGCCTCATGATCTAGGTGCTCGGTTTTGTTCAGGTTCAATGCTAAACCAATCATCCAAACCAAGTTGCAACTACTGAAGATATTAGGTATTGCCTATACTTTTCAAGACCTCCATCCAAACCTAGTACTATTTTGTTACTACATACTTAAAAAGAAAAAAAGAAAAAAAAAGAACTGGTCCACACCAGTTGTTTGAGAATCAAGAGCTTTGCTTACTAGAAAGCTGAATTCTGATGGCTTGTGACTTAATCAAGCACAATTATTGTGATGTAAGAAAGGACTTTGTCATCACCCTCCCATCAGCAAGGTCCTACAGTATCCTTATGTACTTTAACATTTCACTTTTATGATGCAGCAGCTATAATATAATCAAACCTAATTTCGAGTTATTTGGATTTTAGCTGGGTGAAACAAAGAAATGAATTTGATTTTGACATCGATAGCTTGCATTTTTGCTGTCTCCAACTAAATATCCAGACAATATTCATTAAATATCTTCTATTAATAGTTAATCCAAGATATCCACTATGGGGCAATAATGTGTTTAGACAATCAAGANGTCAAATGCTCTAAACAAGTTTTGCTTTAAGCAAGTGTGATACTGCAGGCAAAAGGGATGGATGAGAATATAGGCTTCGTGCCTATACTAGGTTTAGGCCTCCATTATGATTTTAGGAGCTGATCACCACAACATACAAGAGAGGGAGGTTCTCCAGTACCCCTGTAAATGATTATGAACCACCANATCAAATGCTCTAAACAAGTTTTGCTTTAAGCAAGTGTGATACTGCAGGCAAAAGGGATGGATGAGAATATAGGCTTCGTGGCTATACTAGGTTTAGGCCTCCATTATGATTTTAGGAGCTGATCACCACAACATACAAGAGAGGGAGGTTCTCCAGTACCCCTGTAAATGATTATGAACCACCACATGAATTACACTACAGTCCTCGATAGCCCAGTGACTTCGTGTATCCTAGGTCTGCGGACAACAATATCCCCTTCTTTGAACCTAAAGAAGAACTTCTTACTCTAAATCCTCATTCGTGTTAAGTGACCTATCCAAAGTCCATAAGAAGCTTCGTTTGAGATGGTGAAATCTCATTGTCCCTTCATGAAGCTCCGGACTTTGTCTTGAACAACAACATGGCATAACATCCTTGCATTATGAGTCCTCTCTACTCCTCCCATGGCCTTCATCTTTATCTTTTGTTGCCTGTTCATACTCAAGCTAAAATACCCCTTGCTCTTATGCTCCCAGAATTCTAACTGGCAAACTTCATAGACCGCCTGGTCTCTCAAAAACCTTACGTGTATCACAACAGTACCAGTACACACTCAAGTTAATCTAGGAGAAGGGTGGATATACGTTGAGACTACCAAGTAAGGGCTCAAGCCTCATGATCTAGGTGCTCGGTTTTGTTCAGGTTCGATGCTAAACCAATCATCCAAACCAAGTTGCAACTACTGAAGATATTAGGTATTGCCTATACTTTTCAAGACCTCCATCCAAACCTAGTACTATTTTGTTACTACATACTTAAAAAGAAAAAAAGAAAAAAAAAGAACTGGTCCACACCAGTTGTTTGAGAATCAAGAGCTTTGCTTACTAGAAAGCTGAATTCTGATGGCTTGTGACTTAATCAAGCACAATTATTGTGATGTAAGAAAGGACTTTGTCATCACCCTCCCATCAGCAAGGTCCTACAGTATCCTTATGTACTTTAACATTTCACTTTTATGATGCAGCAGCTATAATATAATCAAACCTAATTTCGAGTTATTTGGATTTTAGCTGGGTGAAACAAAGAAATGAATTTGATTTTGACATCGATAGCTTGCATTTTTGCTGTCTCCAACTAAATATCCAGACAATATTCATTAAATATCTTCTATTAATAGTTAATCCAAGATATCCACTATGGGGCAATAATGTGTTTAGACAATCAAGACATCAGCCATTACAATTTCTTGATTCTTATATTGCATATTTTTCGCCCTTTATTGCATTGTGACCCACTCAGAATTTCCAGTTGGCACTGATAACTTATATGTCACCATTCCAATTGGTTGGGGACAATCAAAACTCACTAGAGCATCTCTCAATTTCTATTTCCAAATACAAAATATGTCTAAATATACTAAAATTGTTATATATGAAGATTACCTTCGACTAGAACAAAGACTATCTAAACACTTCTCAAACAACAAAAAAACAAATGTGACATTTAGAAGCCAGGATTCCAATTAGCCAGCTCATAAAAAAACTGCAACATAAAGAAGCAGTTTAGAATCACAAAAAGAGGCATACCCTAGAAACTATAAAACATCGATTTAGCCAACTTCAAATGAGGAAACCCCCTATGCTCTACGTTTTCAATAATGCCCCAATACACATTGCTGTGGTAACATTACGAAAACAAAACATCGATTTAGTCAACTTCAAATGAGGAAACCCTCTATGCTCTACATTTTCAATAATGCCCCAATACACATTTCTGTGGTAACAATATGACAATAAGACATCGATTTAGCCAACTTCAAATGAGGAAACCCTCTACGTTTTGAATAATGCCCCAATACAAATTTCTGTGGTAAAATTACAACAATGTATGGATCCAAAAGTAACCCAATTCAGAGAGAATCAAAAGTTAACAACATATAAGCCAACAATTTATGGGTGCAATTGTCTAATAAAAATCCTCATTCACAATAGATTAACACGAAAAGCTAAACCTCACAGTCAATACAAATAGGGGAACCAAGTAAAATACAAAAGATTCCTCAAAGAAGCCCCCAAATCACAGCAAAATACAAAAGATTCCTCAAAGAAANAAGCTAAACCTCACAGTCAATACAAATAGGGGAACCAAGTAAAATACAATAGATTCCTCAAAGAAGCCCCCAAATCACAGCAAAATACAAAAGATTCCTCAAAGAAACTACATAAAATACCCAATTCAAATCCCATAAACTACACCAAACTCATAAACCCCAAATGCCCAAATGAAATGTTAACTGGTAAATGCACCAAATAAACTCGAGCAGGAAAGCGCAGAAAAAATAAAAAGAAATCTACCAAGAACACATAAGGAGAAGACAAAGATACTGTTGTTACCTGAAATTCTCTCAGTTTGTTGAGCCCGGCGATGTTCCACAGCACCAATTCTCAAGAGAAAGACAAAGTTAAGAATCACAAGAAAACCCCAACTCCAGTTCCTCATTATTTTAGGTTCTCCCTTTCACTCTTGCTTCACCAAAACAAATCTGTGCCTAGAAAGAACCTGTTGAAAGTGATCCCCAAAGAAAAACCCAGAAGAGAATAGGTGGGAATCCTCAAAGACAAAAGACAGAAAGACAGAAAGAAAGGATTTTCACTTAATGGGTAGGAGGTCGAGATAGTTGGCAGGTCATTAGACAAAGTAGTTGCTCATAGTCATAGACCTTTCTTGAAAATGGGGTTTTGATACCACTNAAGGATTTCCACTTAATGGGTAGGAGGTCGAGATAGTTGGCAGGTCATTAGACAAAGTAGTTGCTCATAGTCATAGACCTTTCTTGAAAATGGGGTTTTGATACCACNCAGAAAGAAAGGATTTTCACTTAATGGGTAGGAGGTCGAGATAGTTGGCAGGTCATTAGACAAAGTAGTTGCTCATAGTCATAGACCTTTCTTGAAAATGGGGTTTTGATACCACTCAATGAATAAAGGAAATAGAAATATCGCAGAGAGAGAGAGAGAGATGGGTAAGTGAATTTGCTTGAAGATACAGGGAGGATTGAGGAAGAGGGTTGGTCTGATTTGGTTGTCAAGTAGCTATTGAAATATTTTTCTGGGAAATATTGTAATGTCCTTGTGGTAATATGAGANGAAATATCGCAGAGAGAGAGAGAGATGGGTAAGTGAATTTGCTTGAAGATACAGGGAGGATTGAGGAAGAGGGTTGGTCTGATTTGGTTGTCAAGTAGCTATTGAAATATTTTTCTGGGAAATATTGTAATGTCCTTGTGGTAATATGAGAGGAGCCTTCCATTTTCTCGTTTGATGACATGTCAGTCTCAGTGAGACCGGGTCGGCTCAACCTCATAGTCAAAGGCTGTTGTTCTCTTGTTAAACCTTCCCAACCTCCTCTAATATTCTTTTTTCTTCTTTT